GGGGGGGGGGGGGGGGGTGAGGGAGCGGGGACATGTCACTGCAGGGGTTTGTGGCTGTGGGAGAAGGTTCTGGAGGACAGGCCTCCTCCTGCCAGCCGAGGCGGTTATCCTAAGAGAAGTGCATGTGAAAAATGGCCATTGTGACTGGGTTGACCAGGTGTTCCTTTCCCTGTAGGTTGTGACTTTCCAAGTAAACGCAGTTATTTAAGGGCTATGCTGCACTAGTATCCTTAGCGGGCGGCTCCCTGAAGCTGGGGGGGGGATGGGCATGCGTGGGCACAGCTGCTCAGGAAGCAGCGGAGTCTGTTATGCTGATAGTACCAAGTGTCGTTTTCATGGTTATGCATATATAGACCCCTGTATTTTATTTGTCCTGTTTTGTTAAGAAAACTTGGTATTTCTAATAGAAAAAAAGCAACCCCTCCCATTTCAAACTGTTGATTCTGTTGCGGCTTGTATCCTTCAGTCATTTTTAAATCTCTTCACACAGTAGTGATTTATTTCTCCTTTTTGGATTGACGCAGTATCCTAATTACAAGGTTATTTTGTACTTATCTGAATACCTTGAATGTAATAAAACGGCTGAAGAAAACGTTCTAACCTTCTGTGACTTCAAGTAGGAAATCCCCGTGCTGCCTAACCCGTTCCAGGCAAGCCTCTTGCCTGCCGGAAGGGCCTGGAGTGCAGTGCTCAGCAGCTCTCATTTTTAGTTAAGGTCGTGAGTCCTAGGATGGCAAGGCCTGTTCACCAAGGCTGGATCAGAATCCATTTTGCTGCTGCTAACACCGGGCAACGAGGGGCACGGTGGCAGAGGAGGGAGGAGGGGCCGTGCTGGACGTGGCAGAGGTGGACTCTGTGTTGGCACTGGACGTTCAAAAGCTCCCCGAGTGCTCCACATGCACATTCGTGGTGAGGTCCCAGGGCTGCCTTGGTCCCTCCTCGCCAAACGTGCCTCTCGTGAGGCCAGCTCCGGGGAAGGAGGCTCGAGGATTAGAACCGTTTCAGGACAGACCCTTTGCGAAGTCAGAGACAGACGTCGTAAAAGCTCAAGAAGGCCCCTGTGCTGTGGAAATGGGAGTACTCAGTAGTGTCTTTGGCTTTCCTGGTGGCCTTCAGGGTCCATTCGGTTCTCAGAAGGTCCCCTAGCCCCTGACCCTCCCTCTGGCGAAGACTGGGAGTTTCTTGACTTAAGCGCTAGCAGAACTGGTCCCTGCAATTGGGACATTGCTCTTTTCCTCCTAGAAAAAAACGCGTCTGGAAAATGGTCCAAATAGGGAGGGTTTGAAGTCTTCAGCCAAGCCATACAGTCTTGTTCATCTCATGTGTGGTGAATCTCCAGCTCACGTAGTTTGCTTCTCAGCGTGTCCCTTCAGCAGTGTCTCCTAAAGGGAAGCCCCAGGAAGAACTTCTCTCTAACCCTGGGCTCTCCCCCTCGACTGCGACAAGCCGGCGCCTAGACAGTGCCGGGACGGGAGGGATCCCTTATCTGGGCCTCGGGACTTCACGATGATTTCGCTGCGGACTCGGTGCCCTTCCCGTCGGCTGCCCCTCGCTCGAGTCTCCTACACCAGAGAGGAACCACGAGCCACTGCCGCCTTGGGGCTGGGACGCCCTCGCACACGCCGCCTTGTCAGAGTCAGCTTGTTGGAGGCTGCTGGCACTCTGGCCACCTTTCTCCTCTGCTAAAGATGCCCTGTTCACTTGGCTTCGTCATCCTCCCCCAGCCCTGCGGCTTTTTGGTATTTCCTGTTGCTGGTCTTTGTGGTTCTCTCCGCTAGAAATTTAGAAAAAATTTCAAAAACTTTCCCCCAAACCAGTTCTTAGTCATCTGGAGTTCACATTTGACTTCTGATTTCTGGGGACACTCCCCCTTATTACTCTGCCACAAGCTGCTTCCAGATCTGGGTTTTCTGGACAATTTCTCTTCCATGTGTCCAAGGGCTGATGTCAAAAGCCCAGGTCACCTTCCACCTCCCTTCAGAAACTTCTCGTTTTCCCCATGTCATCTGTCTTGCCGTGTGATCCAGACCCTTGGAGGGGCCAGGAAGGAAACCCAGATCTGATCCTGTCCCTCCCGCCAAGGACTGTGTGCAGGCTTTAATCACAGTCCGCTGCCCTAGGGTGGGGAGGTGCCGAGCAGGTAAGCAGGGCTCTGGAACTAGCTGGGGCGAGCGAGGTCCTCACTCTCAGGGTAGTTTGATCAGTTGTAGGAGGAAATAATAGTCTCTACGGTTTATGCAGCTCCTGGGAAGATCACAAAGGAGAACACAGACACAGCAAACACTCGCTAACTGCGAGCTGCTCTTGACAGTTGGCCTCCATTCTTCAAGCAGGTTTTCCTATACTGGTCCAGCCAAAACCAGTCATTCCCCTACTCTACTGCAGAATTCAGTACTACATTACATTAAATTGTTCATATACTGGTCTCCTCTAACGTGTTTTTGAGAGCAGGGGTTAGGTTTTATTTTGGTTTGCATCCTGCACGAGATCTTTCGCACAAGAGGCTCAAATCATATGTGTTTATGATAAATATAGCTCTTACGCTTGGAATTTTTTTCTTTAAAGAGTAACAGAAAATCAGTCAAATTAATCCACTTCAAGTAGGCTAAAATTCAAAGCACTACCACCCCCCTAAATATAAAGTTGTTTTTTCATGCAAGCATGTGTTTTCATGCAAAAAACCGGTTTTCTTTCCTTTTAGATCAAACACACTAAATGAAATTTTTACATAAATGTCTCTAAGTTAAACTATGCAGTATCCATAAGTATAAACATTTTATTTCAATTGAAGGCAGCAGAAATACAAAATAAAAAGTTTTAATAATTATAAAGTAGAGACAATAAAAATCCCAACACTGATTTTTACACCTTTAGAATCTTGACCGTCATTTGATTCTGAGGGATTTTTATGTAAATGGAGAACTGACACAACACCAGTATCCCAGCAGTTCACTTTATCTGAATGCTATACGACCCAATCACCATGTATCAAATTCTCAATTACTTCTTCCAAGTGCTGTTGCCACAAGAGCACTGAGCCATAGAGCAATTTAAAAGGACCATAAGCTAGACCGTGATGCCTTCAGTGCCTAGAGGACTGCTTTGAAAAATAGACAGCAACAGTAATGGGATCTTGGTTCTCTCTACATGATTCAGTGGGCGCTAGCTGTCTAACCTCAGCAGCCTTCATTCTCAAGCATGAGCATCTTCTCGATGAGCTTCTTAAAGCTTTATTCTTTCATGACATCCGGGCAACAACAGACATTTACAATCATCAATAATGATAAGTCAAAATGAGTTAGGATGACCAGTCACTGGGTAATTAGTTGCCTGAGGTGTCGAGTGGAGGTGAGCAGATCTGACGGCGTGCAGACACTGAGCTAGCCTGCCACTCCTCAGAGTCCAGCCCGCCCTCATTTCCCCCAGCTCCTTTCTCCTCTCTTAGCAAAGGCATCTCACGCTGAGTCCACTCTTAGTTGACGCACGTCCTATGCAGACGGCCTCTAAATGCAAGCCAACTCGCTCTATACACAAAACATGTAAACAGTACTTCTAGGGGTTCAGCTAATCCTGACTATGCACAGTTCTTACCAAACACCCTGATGAGCACCAGATTCCACTGTGACACGCTTTGAGAGACTGAATTCCATTCTGATTGTTGCTCTTACTGTCCTGAAGATTTGTGTCCTCATTTGAAGGGCTGTTGTTTGGTACGTATAAAAGCTAGTACTTGTTGGGATTTCTCCATCACTGAAGTTGTGTTGTCTTGATGGGGACAGTACTATTAAGGTCCAAGAAAAAAGGTCCTTCTTGTTTAGGCAAAAAAGTACTGGGAATGATATTGAAGATCCCAGCAGGTGTATTTTCTAATTCCAGGTAGCAAAACCCACACCTATATTCAGAGAAAATAGGTAAGGCTTACAGATGATGCCACAGAAAGTAAAATATAAACTGGGTACAATGAGCATGCCAGCATTACCTGTAGTCACCACTAGATTTCCTCTGAAAGCCATGAGGACCAGGGTCTCCCAACAGAGAAACTGTGACAACTTCAAATCCAACACTGTATTGCCTAGCAATTAAAATGAACGGAATCACTGTATTATTAAACTGTCTCAAATACGTGGTTTAAAATAACTATCTCTAAAGTGCAGATGTACTATTGCATGTATGTTGTTAAAGCTTCAGTAGGGGAAACAGTATCCTGAACAACATGCATTCTATTTTTATTCTCAATCATACAAAGCACCATTTATATATTTTAGTAGAGGTCATAAAGATTAATACTATATCAAACTAACCTTAAGAGACTTATTTTTTTACTATCACCTCCCTATAGAATAATTTAAAAGATAAATATTGTCATTTAAATTTAAATGATAAAATACTGCCCTTATAATATGCTGAAAGGCCTATGGAACAGGAAAAAAAGCCCTGAAACAAAATCTAAATTTACAGAAGTAATTAGCATATGATAGACATGGCGTTCCAGATCAGTAAGGATTCATTTAAATGGTGATGAGGAAACAAAAAAATTCAGAAAAATATTATTTAAACTGTATTTCACATCAAACATAAAAATATATGTGAATTAAAACAGAACATAAAAAATTAAACCATAAAAGAATTAGAAGGAAATATGGTGAAAATTTATTTGATAATAGGGTAAGATCACCTGTCCACAGCAAAATGAAACCAGGAAAGACAGACTTGATTACTTTAAAAAGAATGTTTTACTGTATGGGGGGGAAAAAAAGATGAAATCTAGGAAAAATATCTGCAAAAAAGGAGTTAATATCTTTACCTTATTCATGCTTACAATAAAAAAAAAACTCTAACAAAAAAATTGGCAAAAATATGAATAGGCAATAAAGAAAAAATATTGTCAATAAACATTTTTACATGTTCAATCCATCTAGGAATTAAATACAAAAAAACACAATTAGATACCTATGTCACCTACCAAACCGGTAGAGGTGTTTAAAATGACCCTGTTGTGGAAAATAAGCTTATTCACATCTTCATATCTAAAAGATTATTAATTATGAAAGCAATTAATATAATTACTGCAATTGGTAACTGTTATCTAATTAGTTGGTAAGGCGAGCAAAATTAAGCTTCATCTTATTTAGAAGGCAATACTATCTGTATTCTCTATGCTTCAACCCCTTTAAAATTAAGAAATATAACAAAGTAAGCAAAACATGTATCTGTCTATCTCAACAAGTAATTTGTGAAGTGAATTAATGGTTAACAATGACCCACACCAGTAAAACCCTCTGGGCCCCACCGAAGCCCCTTCTAACTGCAGTTCCCATCCCCACAGCACCAACTCTCAGGGTCACTTCATCCATTCCGGCGTCCGTTTCACTGTCACTGAGTTCTGGCTGCACGTAAGTGGAATCATGCGGTATGTGTTCTGCATGTGTGGCTCCAGCTCAGCAGTGGTTTAAGACTCACCATTGGGCCAGAGGTCACTACAATAGCATCTCAAAAGCCGCTGATGGACATTTGTGTCACCAATTTCTGGTTATTACAGTGGTTTACTGGCCATATGAATTGTCCCTTTTACGACATGTTTTTATTTTTTTAAAACTGCAGATTTTATATTACTGTAGCACATTTACAAATCTTCTAATGTGCTCATTTTGTTTGGGAAATCTTTCCCTCCCTAAGGTCATGAGACATCTCTTGCATTATCATCATCTCCTAGAAGCTGTCCTGTGAGGCTTCTAATTCACCCAGAATTGACTTTTAGATGTGATATGAGACAAGACTCTGGTTACCATTTTTATGCATGGATACTCAGTCATGCCCTACCAATTACTGAAAAGATGGCCGTTCCCCCAACTCTGCTAGAATGCTGTTCTAGCCACGAACCAAATGTCCACGCATGCTCAGATCTGTCTCCATCCAGTCTGTCCCACTCCTTTTTTTAAAAAATGTAACAGCATTAATTTAAGAAGGTCAACCGTCGCAAACCTTGGTCCTCGTAGCTCAATCAGTAACGGCCCAGTCTTTTCTATATGGAACTGATAGACGGGGTTATTTTTGTGAGTCTCTTGGAAATTTCCACATCCGCCAGCACTCTGACCACTCCACTTCCCATTAATCTAATAAAACAAGGTTTCTGTGTTAATGAAATGCTGTTCTCCACTCACACGCTAAAGACAAAACTCTTTTCCACACACACACACACGCAAGTGCTCTTCACTGGCTCCACGTGCTGCCTGAGCCCACCCCCGATCACCGCCCTCACGCAGGCTGGTCCTTGAGGCAGGGACTCTCCTTGGGGACTCCCTGAGTAGGTGCAGCCCACCCTGCAGAGTCAGTTTCAAGCTCTGCTTTCCAGGTTCATCCACATGGCCCTTGCCAGCAACCAAGGTTTGTGTTACTTTCTCCCAGTTGCTTTCTTTCCATGGAATCACCTGGCATTGCTCACTGAAGATCCTGTACTCCAACCTAGACCGGAATTCCCTGGTATTCCTGACAAGCCCCAGAATGTTATTTTGTAATAACACATTCGTTCAATGTGAATAATAAATTAAGAGAGAAAAGGAAAATGGAATTCTAAAATTATAGAAAAACACACACACAGAGATCACAACCAGAACAGGGATTTTCTCACCCGTTTTGATAAGGTGTACGGTGAAGGGATCTTTGAAAAAGTAAAGCTGCATGCTGAATACACCTAGATGAAAAAACAAAAAGACTATACTGACAAACTTGATACTGGCAAAAACCACAATCAAAGTAATCAAAGAAAACCCGAGAAGACCGGGAGCCTTCTTCCAACGGGCTACCCTGCCGCTACCCGTGTGTGACCCGGGACAAACAGGCCTCGCCAGGCTGTGGCTTCACATCTGAAGAGCGAAGGGGCGGCAGCAGCTCCCAGCATGCCTCTCACTGAAAGGTGATTCAAACTGACCATCTTATTTGCAGCAAGTATATCTATGCAGAACACAATTACAAAGGCCTTCCCAGCCACAGGAGCGCGTGTGTTTCTAGGTGACTGACAATCTAAGTCCAAATCGCCTTTTTTAAGTCCACGAGAGTATTAGTTGCTAAAGGGGTCTTTACTGCTTGCTTTAAAATTAAGCTTATTGGTTCAACATACCTCAGAACTAAACTACTACTGTGAAAATGAAATTGTTCATTCAAAAGAAAAACATTTTTTTTTTGAGTTGGGATCTCACTCTGTTGCCCAGGATAGAATGCAGTGGCACAATCACGGCTCACCACAGCCTTGACCTCCTGGGCTCAGGTGCTCCTCCTGCCTCAGCTTCCCAAGTAGCTGGTACTACAGTCATACGCCACCACACCCAGCCAATTTTTTGTAGAGATAAGGTCTTGGTATGTTGCCTCAGCTGGTCTTAAACTCACGAGCTCAAGCAATCCTCCCACCTCAGCTACCCAAAGTGCTAGGGTTACAAGAGTGAGTTATGTACGGCACCTGGCCAAAACATTCCTTTTCAAAAGCATTATTTTCTAGAGGAAGCATCCTAACAGTTTAATATTACACTGACATATGAATACAAGAAGACACAGAACAACGTGCGGGTCCAAAATAAGCCTTTTTTCCAGGTGTGCCATCATGCACGTGCACACGCTGTGCTTGGAGGGGTGCGCTCCGTCACTGCATTGGTCTTACTCACACGGACCGTGTAGTGGATTGTGTTCTGTTTCTCATACTGAGAAACCACCAGTGTAAAAGTGTGGGTCCCAGGGGTGGTCAGCTTGATCTTCGTCAGATAGTGAGGGCTGTTGATTCGAATTCCATCAATGTACGGAGGTGGGCCAGCTGCAAACAAACCGGCAGGGTTACAGAAAGAGCCGCTCCTGTAGCCTTCGAAGTTTTGTGGTTGGTGGCAGGAAAAATAATGACAAGGATGGACATCCCCTTGACTGACTGTCTTGAAGACACAATGGTATCAGGGAACTGCATTTTCATTTGAAACTTCAAATGGTTTCTGACAAGCCAAAGCAATCTGCTTGACTACATTTCATGAGGAATACTAATCCTTGATATTCTGCTCTGGGCTGCATTTTTCTCCAATAGGACTGTATAGTCAAGATTAGCATCTTTTTTTTGAGGTGAAACATTCTAAAGAGATTCAAAGAAGTATTTAAAAAATACACATTCCCAACACTCAGAATTTAATTTTTATTTTGGTTATGCTAGCTTCTTCATACACGTCCCTTTTAACCACACCCTTGTCTTATTTCCTTCCACTGATGGATTTGGTGGGTATCATTTTAGACTTTAACAACCACCCGCCTCATATAAATGAGCAAGGAATTGTTTACTGTGTAAGTGCATCTCTAAGGAAAGGAAGGTATCTGTCTTGAAATATCTTTCACTTTTCACTCAACATTTCTTTAAGATCTGTGTTGTTCTACACAGATAGTTTATTCCTTTTAACTGACTGTATAAAGTTTCCATCATATGAAGGACATTTTATCTGTGTCTCCAACTGGTGGGTTATTCAGAAAATCTGGTTATTCAGAAAATCTAGATATTCAGATTGTTTCTAGCATTTTGCTAATACAAATAATGCTGCCTGATATATTCTTTGATAGGCTTACCAATCAAGCTTGACACAAATAAAGTCATTTTATGCCTATACGTCATTTAAGATCAATGCTGTATCACTCAGCTTATTTAGGAACACCGAATATTTACAAGGTGACTTATCAGAGAAACTAAACAATTCAGTATCGCAAAGATTTAATGAATCTCTAATGCTTAGTGTGAGCTATTGAGAAGAAAAAAGTGGTTTTTAACTTGTCCATGTTGGACAAGATTTTTATCTGTGATCCTGGACAAGGTTTTTAACTTGTCCATGCTTCACCTTACTCTTCTATCAGAAAGGTCTCTATACACCCTAGAGGGTTGTAATGAACATAAAACTATAAATCTGAAAGTACTCTGAAAGGTAAAAGCACTATACACAAAAGGGAACACTGTCTAGAAAAGAATTCAAGTAAAAAGAGCCGCAAATATGTGTGAAGTTGAAAAGCTGCATCACATTTGAAGGCTAGGAATATACTCCCAACATCTATGTTTTTCTCTCTTTTTTTTTAGAAAGCAGGGTTTATTAAGAGGAGAGAAAAGCTCCCACATGAGAGGGGCCCTGAGGGAGTTGCCCGCTTTTCTCGTTTTCTAATGACCCAATGTGTGAAGCGTGGAGAACCTGGCCGATTTGACGTGATGTGTGTGGCTGGACCCACTGTGTGCTGTGCCCATTCCAGAACCCAGGGATGCCAACTGGCAAGACTCGGTACCTGCCCCAGTGTCCCAGGAAAGATGCCATCCTTCCCCAAGATTAGGAGGGTCAGACTTAATCCCCTTTCCATCCCACCTGCCCTGTCACTGCCCATTTCTCGGCCTTCTTAAAAGGACTGCCAATACCTGCTTCCTCACACCACAGGCCCTCTTCGCACCCAACCCAGCTGGACTTCTGCCCACCTCTCCAGCAAGCTGCTCTTGTCAAGGCCACGACATGGCCAGGGCGCTGAACCCGGCGTCTCCTCTGCAGCCTCATCTCACTGGCTGCTCCCACAGCAGCGGGCATACTGTCCATCTCTTCCCGCTTAGCAGCATCGCCTCTGCTGGCTACGCGGACCCCTCCCCCTGCCAGGCACTCTCTTCACACGCTGTGATGGCACTGTCTCCTAACCTCAACCTTGCGCTGCCTGAGTGTTCAAGGGCCAGGACCTGGGTGTTCACCTATATCTGCGACTCTGCCGGCAGGTGATCCACAGTCCCGACTCCTCCCTCGGTACCTCTAATCCTACCCAAGAATTCTACTAAAAAGCCCACCTCCTGGTTGGCATTTCCATTTGGCAATCTAAGAAGTACCTCATATTTAACAAACCAAAAATTTATTTTTATTTTTTATTTATTTATTATTTTTTAATTTTTTGAGTTGGAGTCTCACCCTGTCGCCCAGACTGGAGTACAGTGGCCGCTCCCGGTCACCGCAGCCTCAACCTGCCGGGCTCTGGCGATCCTTCCGCTTCAGCCTTCTGAGTAGCCGGAATGTGTACAGGCACGTGCTACCACGCCTGGCTGATTTTTTGATTTATTGAGGAGATGAGGTCTCACCAAGTGGCCCAGGTGAGTCTCGAACCTATTTTTATTTTTTTTAAAGAAACAGAGTCTTGCTCTGTTGCCCAAGCTGGAGTGAGGGGCGGGAGCATAGTTCACTGCAGCCCTGAACTTCTGGGCTCAAACGATTCACTTTTCAGCCTCCAAGTAGCTGAGACTATAGGTGCGTGCCACCATGCCCGGCTAATTTTTTAAGTTTTGTAGAGATGACGTCTCACTATGTTGCCTAGGCCAGTCTTGAACTCCTGGCCTCACGTGATCCTCCTACCTCAGCCTCCAGAAGCACTGAAATTACAGGTGCATGCCACCACACCTGGCCAAAAGTTAATTTGAGATTTTACTCCACAACAAACCTGCTGCCTTCCTCACCCCTACTTCAGAGACGCCACACCGTTCCACCAGTCAAGCCTAAACAACAGAAGTCACCTTGATCCCTCTGCCCCTCTACCCACTCAGCAAGCCCTGACAATCCTACCGAAGCCCGAATCCGTCCGCCCTTCCTTATCCTCCCCCACCCCAGACCCTGTCACCCTCACCACTCACATAACTAGAATCGCCTGACTGGCTTCTCTGTTTCCAGTTTTGGCCCTCTCCAGGAGACAGTTAAAAGAGCAAGAATGTTCTTCAAAAAAAGTCCTGTTTTATTCACCACAGTCCCCATGGCCTTAAAACAGCTCCAATCACTAAGAGCCATTTTTTAAAAACACGAAAGCCAAGTGGTCTCCACGACGAGTCCAGTGCCTCAGGAGTCCCGCAGAGGGCGGGCCTCCCTGGGTCTGGTGGGATCTGGACAGGCCTTGCTGAGGAGAGTGGGCAGGATGCGTCTCAACCACTGGCACTAGGCAGAGCAGGGCAAGAGGAGTATGTGGGCTGGAGGGGCAGAGATTCCAGACAGAAGAGATCACGTGCCAAGAGGGGAAAGGGCTCAAGACTCAGGAGCAGCAGGCGTCTCAGCCGGGGGCCAAGGAAAGCTGGGCACGACGCAAGGGGCCAGGCAGGCCAAGGCCAGAACGTAAACAGCTCCCACATCACACTGCAGAGCTTAGACCCGAGAGTTCATGGCAAAACCACAGAATGCGTTGACCAGAGAAAAAGACACGATTTAAGCCTCAGAAACAGAATTCTGACAGCAATGTACAAGAATGTGGAAGTCCTAAATTCCTGGAATCTCCAAATTAAAAACCAATCAAAACTAAACTCAGAGCAGCTTAAATATGCATCTGTCTGAGAGGATTCTATCAATCTATCTACATACATACATACATACATACATACATAATCATTTCCACATACTAGCTACATAAAACTGGTCATTTTCAACTTAATCACGTAAATAAAATTTTAATGTATGTTTGCTTGGCTACTAAACATACCTGGGTAATAAACTTTTTTCCCATCAGTCTTGTATACAACCATTGTGATGAATTCTCGATTATTTGCAAAATCATCCTAAAAGCACAAAGAATCCAATGTGGTTAGAAAAATGGGCCCCCAAACCCCCTTATTTAATGTATTTTAAAAAATCTCATTTTAAAAGCATTTTTTTCAGCTACTTAGTGCTGCTAAAAAAATATCACTTTTCTGAATTAAACTGTCACTTCAATAGATGGCCACGTCTTGAGGTGGTGTGTTCTGAGGCTCTTAAGACTCTGGTCAGCCTTTACGGAATCAAGACTCATCACTCGGCATCTCCAAACCCCCTCAGCACATCTCAGGGCTAGTGTTATTAAGATCTAAAGTGTCTATCAACAGCTTCTCAAAGCCTCATCAACAAGCCTAAACTCCCTCATGTTTCTCTTCACAGATGACCCTGGGTTGACATTTTCAGTGTGTGATTATAAAATGTAAATTTCCTTAGAGGAAAATATTCATTTGTCTGGGAAAACACTACGTTCAGGGCACCCATAAAAGTGACGTATCTGGTGATCAAATGGTGTCACTCTTTCACAGGGGTCTCGCTACACTGTGAACATTTCTGTCCGGGAACCACCAGAAGGGTATCAGTACCTTGTCTGTGATGTGTCTGCTGAGCAGAACCCAGACTGCTGCACCCCCCTGTGGACACTGCACCTCCAGCTTGTACTGAGGGTTGTTGGCCAGGCTGTAGGCGTCCTTCACAGGTCCCTGCTTGGCGTCCCAGGTGCTAAAGAGAAAGTCAGCGACAAGGAGGAGGGCAGTCATCGCACTTCTCAGGGAGCTAAAACAAGGCACGACTTAAAAAAGTGTTCGGCTTCGAATATAATTGAGCTCCTGGATTTTTAAATTGTCTTACCATCTTTTAAATCTTTGGCACAACCAAGAAGTACAGAAAGAAAACAACTATGACAACAAGAAATTTGAGTCTTCCTAAATTAACCATTCTAGTTTGATTATTAATTTTTTTCTCATTCTACCATTTTGTTGCTTATTAGTATCATCAGCTGATAATGCTGGGGGGCAGGAGACATATGAACTAAACAGCGAAGGGAGGAATAAAGTTAAATGGATACCCAAATGTAAATTGTTTTAAATGTTATAAAATTTTATGGCTGGGCACGGTGGCTCAGCCTGTCATCCCAGCACTTTGGGAGGTTAAGGTGAGAGGGCTGCCTGAGCCTGGGGCCTGAGCCTGGGGGTTCAAGACCAGCATGGGCAACTTGGTGAGACCTGTCTCTACAACAAATCACAAAAACTATCTGGGCGTGGTGGTATGCACCTATAGTTCCAGCTACTAGGAAGGCTGAAGAAGAGGGACTGCCTAAGCCCAGCAGGTTGAGGCTATGGTGGCCATGAGCATGCCACTGTACTCCAATCTGAGCGATAAGAGACTCCAACTCAAAAAAAAAAATTTTTTTTAAAATTTTATAGAATGACAAGCACTCATAGGAAATCTAAGAAATATAGAAAATTTAGAAGCAACATACAATGAAAAACCTAACATTTATTAATAATTAGTGTTAATATTTCATAAAAATAATCCCAAATATCTATGTATATACTGATAGCAAGGTGACATGGGCAGTTTTGAAGAGAATGAGACCCTGCTACACATGACATTTTTTTTTTCCTCTGGGGGAGGGGAAGGAGAGTTGGGGGGGCAGATTCAGAGAGGAGAGAAAAGGATGCAGAGGTGAGGTAGGGAAGGAAGGAGGGGAGAGAGCAAGAGGAAACAGGGAGGTGGGGGGAGGGGAGGAAAGAGAACAGGAGCCTCAGCTGTAGGGGGAGGAGGATGTGGGGAGGATGGGGGCGGAGGGCAGGTGCAGCTGGTAGAGAGGATGGAGGGGAGAGGAGGAAGGCAAGTCCCAGCAGGGAGGAGAGGAGATGGGTGGGATCCGGGGGGAGAGTCAGGGACAGAAGGAGAGGGAAAGGAGAAGGGGAGAGAGGATAGCAGGGAGAGGAGGAAGGGGGAGGAATGAGGAAACAGACAGGTGGGCAGGAGGGGGCGGAGGAAAAGCGGGGAGAGGAGGAGGGGGAGTCCCGGAGAGGAGAGAGCCAGGGGAGTGAGGAACGGGAAGGGCAGCCTCTACTCATGACATTTTTAATGTTAAAATTACCATACTTAATTTTGCTTGAACCTAAGGAAAATTCAAATGTAACTAAAGAAATTGCTGACCTTCAGAGATGCATTTTGTTACGCAAAAAACGCCTCTAAAGTTCACAAAAGACAGTATGCAAACCACTAAGAACCTAGTGCCTGCACATTCTAATTTTGTAGATTATGAGTTGACAGGACATGGAATACAAAGGAGTAAACATTACATTTTTAAGTTGAAAAAGTGGAGACGACTATATAGCAAACCCTGAAATGTGCAAAAACTTACCTGTGAATACACGTTGATTCTTTAAAAAGACCTGGATTCCAACTCAAATAAATCACATCGTAATACTGGCAGAGATCATCCCAGGAAATCCAAAATATTCCTGAAAATTATTATCTTTGTTAATGCCGAAAAACTTAATGACAAATGACTTAAGTCAGTGAATACATTTCACCTTGGTAAAATGCGTTCTTTATTTGAAGAACGAACAGCGTTAAAATTCGACAGACACAAGGACTTACCGTTGTCTATCTTCTGAGCTGTCCGGGGGTCAAAGTTTAAAGACTTCTGCAACTCTGGGGTCCAGTTTTTTATATCGTTTTCACTGTATCTTCCCTTCCAACGCAAATGACTCCACGGATTTTTCAACTGGATAAATCGCAGTCCCTACATATAAAATCATGAGATAACATTACGTTACAAAACAGTTTTACCACATGACTTGAATTCTGATGATTCATCAATTCTGTTCCCTTCAAGTCAACCTGAAATTGATACCTTAACTGACACTTTCACCAGATTATATATGTGATTAAAAACTGCAAATGGGCTGGGCACAGCAGCTCAGCCCGTAATCCCAGCACTTTGGGGGCACTGAGGAGAGAGAACTGCCTGGGCCTGCAGGTTTGAGACCAGCCTGGGCAACCTGGTGAGACCTTGTCTCTACAATAAGTAAAAAAATAAGCTGGGCATGGTAGCACGCACCTGTAGTTCCAGCTACTTGGATGGCTGAGGTGGAAGGATCTTAGGTCTAAGCCCAGCAGATTGAGGCTGTGGTAGCCATGAGCAGGCCACTGCACTCCAGCCTGGGCGAGAGAGTGAGACTCCAACTCAAACAAAAAACCCAAAAAACTGCAATGGCTAATTCCCTAGAGCTATGCTGTCTCGTAGTCACTGACCACATTAACCACATGTTATTTTAATTGAAATAGTATGACACTAAAACTCAGCTCCTCAGCCACTCTCGCCACATTTCAGGCGCTACGTGACCGCATGCTACAGCTGATGCACTGGATGGCACCAGATGCAGAACACTTCTACCCTGGGAAGTCCCATCAGACAGCGCAGTCACGGAGCATCAAGTGCTTCCTGCCTTCCCAGGCTCACTCTGCCCTGGCCCCCCTTTCCCAGGCCACAGCCCGAGGCACCTCTGGCTTAAAGCTAGTCTCTCCTTACAGCCCCATGACAGCCTCACTCCAGTCTGCCTCTGAAGGCGCCTGCTTGCGTGTTCCTCTTTCCTAAAATTAGCTGCCCTCTCTCTTTTCAGGGAGGAGGGAAGAACATGGACTTTGGAGTCTGACTAAAATGCGACAAAATCCCAGCTCTCTGGGTGGGTCCCTTACCTTCTCTGAACAAGTGTTTACTCACATTACAATGAAGTTATGATGTCTCCCTAGAAGACTGCTGTGAAGATATTTATGAAGCCACTCATGGTATTTAGCAATTGGTATTGCCTTCTACTTGTAATTCCTCTCTCTCCTCCAAACTTTGTAGTGCTAACTTTGTAGTGCTAACAATGTGTATCACATCAGCTTGAAACAAATAAGCTCCCTTCTCATACTGTTTCCTACTTGTACAAAAGTAGTCGTGTCTCCCAAGTAAGACTGTGAACTCCCTGACATGGTGACACTGTCATGCTTTTTCAGATTTCCCACTGAGTTTATGGAACATAGTGATACGGTTATGGTAAATGCTCAGTAAACACTGGGTGTGTCTACAGAATTGATTACATTGATTTAGACAATAAGAGCTGGTAAATCCAAAAGAAGATATGTCTTACTTCAAGCAGTCAACTTAGGAAACTGCATGCTCTAATACTGTCATAAGTCAAACTACTTGGGAAGCATTAAAAAAACAACAATACATTCCTTTAATATTTTAAGTGGTGGCAAATTGTGGCCTGGGTAGATGTGATTTCTGGAGTGAGAGAGACTCACTCCTCACAGGTTACATTCTCTAGAAGCTTCAGTAACACAATTTCTTTTCTCAATTTCATCTACACCCTCTGTCTCTTACCACGTGTCTGCCAACAGACCTTTAACTCAAATTCCTTTTCTCGTAAAGCCTAGTTCTGAAATCTGCCTTATTTCAGGCCTCTGAGATTTCCTGAAAGAGGAATATAACAGAGAGAAAACTGCCACTCAGCTTTCAGAGATAGGTCCCAGCAGCCATGACAGCCAAGGACACTCCGAGGTGGCTGTCAACTTTGGATAAGCAGAGAACCAGCACTTCAGAGGGCCCTAAGTAGGGGAAGGAATGCTGAAGAGCTACGCAGAAGGACCTGGCTTATGAGGAAGCATCCCGTTTCTAAAGTCGTTCCCAGGTGGCGTCAGGAAAGCCTTGAGTGGGCTCAGACCCGTGGCAAGGCCTGTCAGGCCCGCCACTGGCAGCCTGAATGAGAGAGGCGCTTAAGGAACCACTGAGGAAATTGTACTCTGAGCCAAGACAGAGGAGTGGCCCGAAGAGAGGAGGACCACTGACACTGAAGTTAAGATCCTGGTATAGCAGATAGGCGGCTGAGAAACATGAGGACACTTTCACACAAGCATTAATAAATATTAACAAGAAAAACTTACGAAGTGAAAAAGTCACACATGACGTAAGATTGGGTGTAGCTTTAGTCTAGGATGAGGTCTATGTTCAAAAGAGAGGTTTTAGAGATACATACTTTAATCAGATATGAAAATCCTCGATTTTTATGTTTGAGCTGGGGTCTCACTCCGTCACCTAGGCTGGAGTGCAGCGGCATCATCAGGGCTCTCCGCAGTCTTGACCTACTGGGCTCAGGAGATCCTTCTGCCTCAGCCTCCCAAGTAGCTAGGACTATGGACTACAGGCACACACCACCAAGCCCAGTTAGCTTTTTTCTTTTTTTGTAGCGATAAGGTCTTGCTATGTTGCCCGGGCTGGCCTCAAACTCCTGGGTTCAGGCAATCCTCCTACCTTGGCCTTCCAAAGTACTGTAATTACAGGCATGAGCCACACTGTGCCCTCTCAAAAATGTTTTACAACAGAAATCAAAATCACATAAATGTCTCAAAATACAGACAGCAAAAATAATACAGAAATGGCAAACCCAAGAAACCCCTCAAATATATATCCAATACAACAGCCCTGTGGAAAACCCTCCTCAGTACTAGGATGCATGAAGGCGGCTTTATTTAAGTAAAGATCAAGCTGCCTGCAGAAGCACCTCCCAAGACGAGACGCCTGCTCCATCTGAGCAATGCTGTGTCTGGGCTGCAGCCGCCAGACTCACAGTGTGAACGTGAGCATCAGCACGGTGAAGACACCTGCGACTGGGCCGAGCTGGCTCCCGTGTTCATGCACCAAAGCGCTCAATCTTCACAGATCTTTGCCATGAGGAACTGACACTGTGTGAATAATGCTACTGATTTTTAACAGGAAAGGCTGTTATTTGAAATTCCTACATTACTGGTACTCAGCTCACAGGTGCCCATTTTCCTCATAAATGTGTTGTCTGGTTTCCTTTGAGCAATCTGAACAGTCTTATTATTCAAAGTACATGATACAATCTTCACAGATGTCTTCCTCAAACTCAAGCTTACTTTCACATGGGCTGTTTTGTGATTTAATTTAAACCTCTGTCGCTATGTCATTATCTCTCTATCAGTCACCTATGGGTTATACCTACCTCACGGGACACTCTAACAACAAAAGAAAAGATATATATATATATATGGTATTAAACATCATCTGTTACAATGTTTTGATGGGTGTTTGTGACAAATTCCAGTTCTAAAACATAAACTTACTAGCTTATTTAATTTTATGTAAATTTTTATACTTTTTGCTTTAAGTGGTCAATTTTTTATGCCACTTTTAAAGAAACACAAAGTTCTATACAGCATGGTTGGGGGTGCAGTACTGACTAGCTAATTTAGAAAGCTGAGACTATACATTTTATTTATTTTTTGGAGACAGGGTCTCGCTCTATCACTCATGCTAGAGTACAGTGGCATGATCATTGCTCACTGTATCCTTGAACTCCTGGGCTCAAATGATTTTCCCACTTCAGTCTCCCAAGTAGCTGGGACCCCAGGTGTATGCCATCACATCTGGCTAATTTCTATTTTTTTGTAGAGACAGGGTCTCACTATGTTACCCAGACTAGTCTTGAACTTCTAGCCTCAAGTGATCCTCTCACCCCAGTTTCCCAAGTAACTAGGACTATAGATGCATGCCATCATGCCTAATTTATTTATTGTTATTTTTTGTAGAAACAGGTTCTCACTATGTTGCCCAGACTGGTCTTGAACTCCTGGCCTCACGTGATCCTCCTGCCTCAGCCTCCCAAAGTGCTGGGATTACAGGCATGAGACACCATGATTCTCGCTACCATTCTCAAAATTTGTACAGTTATATGTCGCATAATTATGTTTTAGACAATGATGTCCTGGAAAATGACAGCTAATATACATGACTAAGGTCCCAAAAGATCATAACGAAGCCCAAAAATTTGTATTGCCTAATGACAGCTTAATGATCCCGACTCTGTGAAGGTCTAGATTGATGTGTATATTTGTGTCTTAATTTTTAACAAAAAAGTTTAAAGAGGTCAAAATAAATAAAGTAGAAGAAGGCTTATAGAATAATATGAAAATATTTTTGTACAGCTCTACAATATTGGTGTTTTAAGAGTTTTTACAAGAGCCAAGAAGTTAAAAACATTTAAAAGTTTATAGTAAGCTAGTTAATGTATTATTGATCAAAGAAAAAAAAAAATTAGTGCAGCCGAAACAAACAGTGTTCAGAGTTCACAGCGGCAGACAGGTCCTTGGCCCTCACATCTACCCCGCATCCCTCAGGGGCACACCAAAGCCACTCCCAGTCTTGCAAGCTCCCATCCATAAGTGCTCTAACCAGGTGCCACACTGAGAAAAAACCTTTTATACTGTATGGCTAATGTATCCTCTCTATGTTTTGATATGCTTGGACACAGAAATGCTCACCTGATGGTACAAGTGCCTACAATATCCAGTACAGTACCATGCTGTACAGGTGTGTAGCCTTGGAGCAAAAGGCCAAGTGTGCAGTAGGCTGTACCATCTAGGCCTGTGCAAGTACATGCTATGGTGTTCGCACAATAAGGACATCACCTCACGACACGTTTCTCGAATGTATCCTTGTCGTTAAGCAACTCGTAACAGTAACTGGATGTGCCACTTAAGAAAACCAGTCTAATTAACACACAGTGGCACTCTATCACTGTTGAGATAGAGTACCACTGCTATGTCCTTCTATCCTATTGTTAAGGAAAAATCCTAATGGTCCTTTTATTTTCTAATCCACAGAACACATCATTTTTCAGTTAAAAGTAGCAAACAGCCTGAGAAGTAACGAAGTCAAGTGTTCCCACACCTGAGAGCAGATAATGCAGAGAAAGGACCTGAGAGGCCTGGCAGCTTGCAAGGGCTCTGAGGAAGAGAAACACCTGTCACACAAACCCACAGGCATGAGTCTCAGGCCTAACGGCCTTCCTGTTCTTCCTCCTTTCACCAATCTTTGCTTAGGGTCTACTCTGCTCTGGAGCTTGGCAGCATGCTGGATCAAAACATACAACACAGCACCAGGAACCTTGGGGCCATGTACCCGCTACACAACTGATGGGAAAGCGAAAGAGGTATAAAGGCGTTTCTGTTCTGTCTTCAACATCTGTGCTACCACCATGATTTCATTTCCCACCTTTTAATTTCAAGATTTCCAGTGGTAGAGGTCAAGTTTTTTGCTGTAATAGGTGGGATGCTCTACAAACTTCGCCTGAAATTGATCTGACAGTACTGAAAAGTATGATAAATCAGCTGGGATTCTTGCAATGCCTTGCAAGAAAAATAAGAGAGAAAGATTTCAGGCGAACCTTGAACTCTCTAATGTCCAGAACAGCATATGCGTGGGTGGGTACCAGCCCCCACTTCTCTCCTTCTGCTTCAGTCATCATTCCAGTTGATGCCGTGATGAGGACATCTCCTTTGTGAAATCTGCAGTGACCCCAAAAGACAACTAATGAAAAGAAAGTACATTTGTAATCACAGACAATCCTTTCTACCTTTTAGTCTGATGGCTTATGTGAAAATGTCCACAAATCTGAAATCTTTTCTGAAATGGTTTTTCCTAACACACCTGAAGCACTTTCAACAAGTACATTTCGAATTCACAGCGTAGCAGATGATCACATTTAATTTTTTTTTGACAACTAACAATTCTCAGGTAGAAACCTATTAACAAAGGAAAGCAGATACTAAATTTTCAAATGGTTACTTGTAATAAGGATAAAGATGCTAAAGAGCTAACGCACCTTCCCAAAAGGGACATCATTTTATTTATCAAATCACCAAGATTTTTTTTTTTTTTTTTTTTTGAGTTGGAGCCTCACTCTGTCGTCCAGACTGGAGTGCAGTGGCCGCTCCGGGCCACGCAGGCTTGACCTGCTGGGCTCTGGCGATCCTTCTGCCTCAGCCTTCCGAGTAGCCGGAATTACAGGCGCACGCTACCACGCCTGGCTAATTTTTTGATTTATTGTAGAGATGAGGTCTCGCCTGCCCAGGCGGGTCTTGAAATCACCAAGATTTTTAGTTTTGCTATCAAACATGTATTATTGTTTAGACAATTTTCCAGTCCCTATATGACTATCCATATAAGGCTTAAATTCTCAAGACTTCTTTTACCACCTTCCCTCTGACTGGTAAAAAGTACAAAATTACTTTCCATGTCACTTATTACAGACTCAAATATTTTGAATTATCTACAATTTGGATGAAATTTAACTATGAGCAAGGACAAATAACTATGGGCTGACCGCAGCAAGCACATCAAGTCGAAGCTATTTTAAAATTCCTCTAGTAACTAAAAAGGACAGCTTCTGCGATCTCTATTCTAAATAAGGCATCATGTTTTTAAATAGCCTCTCCTAGCACAAGAAAAAGATAAAATGTTTACCTTTGATAAAGCATTCTGAAAGAATTATCCTTACTGAAAGTCTGGCTATCTGAATGCATAGCAATTCTTTCTGGTATCCACCCAGTCAGTGCATGAAGATCAATATTCTGGCAACATAAACACATTTCAGGACTGTCAACATCGTTTTCAAGATCTTAAATCCCCAGGGTAGCTATTAAACCTCACTGATTTGGCATAAAGATTTTATTAGAAATAAATTAGAAGACAGTTGTTTTCAACCAGTAATACATTTCTTATTTAACCCAAATTCTCGCCTGGATCTAAACACATGCATATTTTTTTCCTTAAGTCCTTTGCTGCTCTTCCTGAATACAAGAGAGCTGTCTTACTGGTGAATGCGATGAAAACTCAAGAATGCGACAGAAAAACTGCTTTGATGATAACAGTCACTCACTATCTGGTGAGTTCTTACAATATGACAGTCACTTCTTTTTTTTTTTTGAGTCGGAGTCTCACTCTGTCGCCCAGACTGGAGTGCAGTGGCCGCTCCCAGCCACCACAGCCTCGACCTAATGGGCGCCGGAGATCCTTCCGCCTCAGCCTTCCAAGTAAGCTGGAATTACAGGTGTGTGCTACCACGCCCGGCTAATTTTTTGATTTATTGTGGAGATGAGGTCTCGCCAAGTTGCCCAGGTGGGTCTCGAACCCGCGGGCTCAGGCCATCCATTCACCTCAGCCTCCCAAAGCGTGGGATGACAGGCTGAGCCACCGAGCCCGGTTATGACGGTCACGTTTAACGTTTTACACACATTCTCATTCTTTCTCTAAGTTCCGCTGGGTGAGTTAACAAGCAATAGAGCAGAAAGCCCAAAGTACGGGAAAGGCAGAGCAACCGAGAGCATCGGCTGGGAGAAAAGAAGCCGTGACGTCCTACTGCCATTTAGCAGCACCCTGTACCCGTCCCTGCCAAGCACCGGAGGGTCTGGAGCGCAAAGGAGATCTGGCATGAGGCAGGGAAACGAAGCAGCTCTGAATGGTGAGTGACTTGCACCCGGGACACCTCATCTTTGTAACTGGACAACAGGTGACTTCTGTCTTTACATGGTGAAGAGGCTGACGACAGATAAATGTCTTTCCTAAGGCCACAGATGAGTCTGTGTCAACATGCAAAGTCACGCCCGTCGCTGGCCTAAGTGTGGCTCACCACATGCTACAAAAGGGCGCTGGCACACACCTCAGTTCTATAGGATAAGCTGCGTCAAGGCTGGGGACAACAAACAACTCCTTCAACCTAAACTTACAAATCAAAAACACCACAGGCCACACAACACCTCACGGGACCCGATGAGGCTGTCACGAAGGGTGCACTGTGTTCTACAGGCCTGTATCCCACAGAGAGCAGACCCAGCTCAGGCGTTCCTGGGCCTGGAACCTAGGCAATGTGCTATCCGTACACAAGTAGGGAACCTCATAATAAGGGGACTGGTCAACACTTTTAGGGGCTGATAATCTGGTCCCCCCCCCCATAAACGCAAAATGGCATTTAGAATTTTTCCAACTTAAAACAGAGCCACATGAGACTCCCTAAGTCTGTGTCTGGGTCACCACATCTATGACTTACCGAGTTGGACCCTGGAAAATCATATCCTCCCATGACTTTCATGTACGCTTTTTCTATGAGAGAAACCCAGAGTTCACTTTTGTTATTGGAATATGAGCAGAGCAGTTCTCCCTTATGATCAACAGGTAACTGGTCATCAATGATTACCTTGAGAAAGAGAACATGAATTTTCTTAGGTGCACAAAATATCATGAAATCCTTTCTCTCAAGAAAAAAAGAATACCTCTCATATAGATACAGTAGAAGGCACAAAATACCTATTACTCAGGTAATGACAGTTTCACGTTTCTAGAATCCTACCAATTATAAAATGTTGATCATTTTTATATGATTTCTTTATTCAGTTTTACAAGCAAATCTCCTTGTCAGGCGATCAACTGGTTAAATGTCATGCAAAAACTATTAAAATTACAGGGTGAACATCCTAAATCAAAAAACCCAAAATTTGAAATGTTCCAAAATCTGAAACTCCCTGAGTGCTGACAGGATGCTGACTGGAGCACTTTGGATTTTCTTTTTTTTTTTTTTTTTTGAGTCGGAGTCCCACTCTGTCGCCCAGACTGGAGTGCAATGGCCGCTCTCGGCCACCGCAGCCTCAAACTGCTGGGCTCTGGCGATCCTTCCGCCTCAGCCTTCCAAGTAGCTGGAACTACAGGCATGCGCTACCATGCCCGGCTAATTTTTGATTTATTGTAGAGATGAGGTCTCACCAAGTTGCCCAGGCGGGTCTCAAACCCGCGGGCTCAGGCAATCCACTCCCCTCGGCCTCCCAAAGTGCTGGGATTACAGGCTGAGCCACCGAGCCCAGCCGAACACTTTGCATTTTCAATGAGGGATGCTCAACCTGTATGCATGCTGCAAATATTAAAAAATCTGAAAAAAAGCCAGGCTCGGTGGCTCAGCCTGTAATCCCAAGCCTTGGGAGGCTGAGGTGAGTGGATTGCCTGAGCCTGCAGGTTCGAGACCCACCTGGGCAACTTGGTGAGACCTCATCTCTACAATAAATAAAAAAAAAAAATCAGCCGGGTGTGGTAGCGCGTGCCTGTAGTTCCAGCTACTCGGAAGGCTGAGGCGGAAGGATCGCCGGAACCCAGCGGGTCGAGGCTGTGGTGGCCGGGAGCGGCCACTGCATTCCAGTCTGGGCGACAGAGTGAGATTTCAACTCAAAAAAAATAAAATAACAGAGGAACTAATCACCTTGGACAATTTCTAATTTGTATTAAAGAGTGATTTGGGAGATATGGGCATAAGAATTTCGACTTAACATTAGTAGGAAGATCATGCAGCTGCATTTTGAAAAACTCATTGAAGAAGAGATAAAGAATTAGAGTTCAGAAAAACCGTTCTCAGTAATTTAGTTTAGTTTCTTTTCTTTTGAGGGTCTCACTCTGCCACCCAGGCTAGATGGCAGTAGCACGATCATGGCTCTCTACAGCCTCGACCTCCTAAGCTTGGGCAAGTCTTCCGCCTCGGTCTCCAGGCAGCTGGGATCACAGTCACGTACCCCCACATGCAGCTAATTCTTGTTGATGTTTTTTGTAGAGACAAGGTCTCACTATACCACGCAGGCTGATCTCAAACTCCTGGGTTCAAGCAACCCTCCTACCTCAGCCTCCTGAAGTGCTGGAATTACAGGTATGAGCCCCCAAGCCTTGCCAATTTTGTTTTGTTTCAGCAGCTTTCAAAGGGTGCTCCAGACAGCAGCATCAGCACTGCCTGAGATCTTGAAATGCAAATTCTGGTCGCGTCCCAGACCTAGGAATGAAACTCTGGGGCTGGGCCCGCCGTGTGTGTTTTGACAAGCCTTCCAGGTGATTCTGTACACACTAACATTTGAGTTAGACTGAGCCATAGAGCAAGGCTTTTCACACTGAAATCACTAGGGGATCTAGTTATAATGTGCAATTTCGAGTCTGCAGTTCTAATAAGCTCCAGGTGATGCTGATGTCACACGGGCTTTGGGAGCAGACCAGAGCTGGAGACCCTGGCATCGCCAGGCCTACGGTGTTCCGAGTCCTTACAGAAACGATGGTGAACTCAAGTTATGTAATTTACAAGGGAGATAAGTTAAAAGCTTCTTATGTCTCAAGTTATGACTATATACAAACTCCTCTGCCCTAACAAATTTAGTTTGTCTAATTAAGAATATCGGGTTCAAATTTATTTTAAGCATTAGCAATCTTCAGTTCAATGTTACTTACTAAAATTTTTAAATTTTTTTCAAAGCCATTTAAAAACAACCTTATACTTATCAAGGGTTTTAGTTTTAGTTATTAACATATGATGCTATGGGAAATATTACATATAATACCAGAGACTCAAAATCAAATAAACAGAAATGACTTTTTAAATGTCTACACAGATAACATTTCCTAATGACTTCACTCAAAACTCCAACAAGGTAGGGAAGGGAGAGAGAAGGGGTGGGGGGGGAGAGATCTTACCTTTCTTGGGACACCGTTGAGATGAAGTTTTACCATATACTTTCCACATGGATTGTACTCTGGTTCACCATCCTTATTCTGAGGGTAAATTATGCTTTTGTAAAGGAAACAAATAGTGAAACACCAATATTAGTATTCAAGATCAACCACTATACAGGCTATAATATTTCACTTAGACATATGCAACTGTTTTGGCATTTTCATAAAAATCAACAGGAGAATATTTTCCTATAATAAGCCAAGAACAGAAATTTCTTCCTAATCAAAGTGTTCATTTATTATAAATAAAAGTCTTCTGTGACCACAAAGCAGGGCACATACTTCACAATGTCCTTAACAGTGCTCAATTCTTAACTGCATACTCTGATAAGTGGATACATTTTAAGCAAGCTAAAAATGATCTTTTGCCATTGGCCCCAAGTAGTAAGGAGAAGACCATTTCAACTAACCACAACCAAGGCAAATAAGGCAGAACTCTGACATATCGTTACTGAAAAATACACAATGAGACACACTAGAACTGTCAGTATTGATTTTCTTTTAAAATAAATCTGGACCACACATATGGCAAACAGCAAAAACTAAGGATTGTGTCTCATTGTTCAATTCATTTTTGTACTCTCAGGGTTTGACACACAAAAGCTACTCAGAAAAAGGTTAATGAAAAAATTATAGGCAGCCCCCTTGGGTCTCCTCCCACTGTGGGAGCTTTTCTGTCCTCTCAATAAATCCTGCTTAAAAAAAAAAAGAAAAAATCATAGTGTGTAACAATTGTTACAATGAATGGTTTTAACCTAATGTAGTTTATCTTTTTTTTTTGAGTTGGAGTCTCACTCTGATGCCCAGACTGGAGTGCAGTGGCCGCTCCCGGCCACCGCAGCCTCGACCTGCTGGGCTCGGTGATCCTTCCGCCTCAGCCTTCCAAGTAGCTGGAACTACAGGCGCGCACTACCACGCCTGGCTAATTTTTTGATTTATCGTAGAGGTGAGGTCTCACCAAGTTGCCCAGGGGGGTCTCGAACCCGCGGGCTCAGGCAATCCACTCACCTCGGCCTCCCAAAGCGCGGAATTACAGGCTGAGCCACCGAGCCCAGCCTAATGTAGTTTTTAAAAATGGGAAAAAAAAGTATCTCAGACACATTTCAGTATACTCTAAAGCAGTTCTGGCCAACAGAAATATAGGTTAATTCCTATTTTCCAGCAGTCGTGTTAAAAGTTAAAAAGGCAGAACCAATTTTAATATATTTCATTTAACCCAATATAGCCAAAGCATCATTTCACATGCAATCGATACAAAAGTGGAGACATTTTGCAAAGTCACACTTTTTGTGCTACGTTCTTAAAACCTCATGTGCATTTTACATCTGCAGCCAGCCTCAGTTCAGATGAACCCACTTCACATGCTCAACAGCCACAGGGGCTATGGCTACCTTCCTGTACAGTACCATGGCCAAATCCTGTCTACAGAACATTTGACTCTCACCGATTTTAGTCATTTCAAAATCTACCCATGCCGTTCACGTGATCTTAACGATGCGCCTATGTCTGATGCCTCCATCTCCTGGGTTCAAGCAACCCTCCCATCTCAGCCTCCTGACTAGCTAAGACTACAGGTGCACACCACCAGAGCTGGCTAATTGTCTTTTTTGTAGAGATGAGGTCTCACTATGTTGTCCAGGCTGGTCTCGAGTGCCCAGGCTCAAGGGATCCTCACATCTTGGCCTCACAGTGCTGGGATTACAGGCCTGAGCCACTGCTTGCCTGTCGTTAGACTGTTTTGGCAGGTCTTTCTGCATCTGTTAGTCACTGGCTTCCCCTCTCCAGAAGGGCATGACATTCCGAGTGATAACGCTTGCTCCACTTCTCCACGGATGAGGTCTAGCGTTTAAATTTCGAATTTAGAGACATACGAAAAGGGCTACGGGGAGGAATAGAAAATTGTACCTGGTAATCAACTTCTTATTAAATCGTCTTTCATAAGCTGCACTGATAGCCAGGGATGCAACAAAGGAGCAATCTGATACGATTGTCTGTTGATAAGAATAATTAGCATAGTCATCCATTCATGTAATTTCAACACTACCACCCAATTAATGCACTGCAGCAAGCACTTGACTTCTTATACTCAATATCTTGACTGCTGCTTGAGTAGGAAACTAGTCGCTAGAAATGCCATAATGCCAACTCACATATTTTACTCAAACAAATCCTAGAAAAAGAATAAAGTATCACAATGAAATTAATTTTGAATTAAATATTCTCTTTTCAATCTATTCCCTTAGCAAAATTCTCAAGTGTCTCATCTGCAAGCATATGGCTTACAGAAAAACCTGTAATTGCTCAAGACAGTCCGTACTTACACGACTTCAGTACGTTTAAGCCAAAATATGCAGAGTGAGTTTTCCCGTCACACTCATGCATCTGAACATGTAGGAGAAGGCTAAAGAAAAAACTCAAATCTATATCCAAATTAATTTAAGATGCTAACTTTCCTACAAAATCATACAAAATACGTGCTTACCTGCTTGATGCTAAAACTGGACACAGTGTATATCATTGTAGGATTGTTGGTGAGGTCTTCTGGCCGTGCCCATTTGGAAAACGTGGATTTTTGTTTAGGTGATAATGGCAGCTTGCCCCATCTATCACTGAGGTAATAATAAAAATTAAGATAATATAATTAGCCTTAAAAGATGACTCAAAGCCAAAATTAAATTTCCTAGGTTTTTTGGGGGGGGGTATAGTGATCAAAGTTATACTTACACCATCCTAAAGTAACCTTCCAGTCAAATCTGACTCTTTACACTTAACCTTGAATTCAGTAAACCTGATCATCCTCCCTAGTTAAAAAATATACCCAGATAATGGAGAAGAACAACCTAAATTCATTTATATTTACTTTAAGAATTTAAAAGACTAACTTGGCATAATTATATTCAAGAAATTCAGCAATAAAATGAAGCTGTTAGCCACAAAGATGCTTATGTTGGTTTCAGCAAATTCTACCCAGCAAGGCTGCTAATGAGAGCAGCTAATCACTGAATACTCACCATGTGCCAGGATCACACTGAAGCACCTCAAATACGCGATCCATCGAATCCTAGAAACAACTCCAATAATGCAAATATTGCTGGAAAAGGCTTGAAGTGACCGCACAATCTACCAAGGCCACATGGCTGAGCAGCAGCAGAACTGGCATTTGAAGCCAGGCACCCTATACTCACTGTGTGTACCATGTTCTCTAAAATTGATCCATAACACCAAATAAACATCTACCTTTCCCCAAACCTTTTCTAGAGCAAGAAATCTTTGGATTTCAAAAGGTTTTTGGATAATGCAGCAAGTCCCCTCCATATAAACGAGTTTCATTCCAAGAGTGCACTCCTAAGTCCCATTTGTTCCTAAGTCCAAAGTTAGCCTAGGTCCCTAACTAACAAAATGAGCTATGTAGTACCGGACTGTAATGGGTTTATAATACTTCTCACACGAATAACACATAAAAAACAATTATAAAGTATGCAGAAGCACAACTACTTGTCGAGGATGCACACACGTGACAATGCATGCCAGACATGTGAACTACCTTACATGACTAGCAATGCGAACATGCATGTTTGCATTTTTGGAAGTTCACAACTTGAAGGTTTATATGCAGGGGATTTACTGTATAAGGAATATGACATGCAAACTGAAACAGATATGACATTCTTTTTCTTTTTTGAGTTGGAGTCTCATTCTTGTAACCCAGGCTGGAGTGCAGTGGCAGCCTCGACCTCCTGGGCTAAGGTGATCCTTCCACCTCAGCTAACTACAGACACACACCACCAGGCCTGACTAGTTTTTTTTTTTTTTTTGAGTTGGAGTCTCACTCTGTCACCCAGACTGGAGTGCAGTGGCTGCTTCTGGCCACTGCAGCCTCGACCTGTTGGACTCCAGCGATCCTTCCGCCTCAGCCTTCCGAGCAGCTGGAATTACAGGCATGTACTACCACGCCCGGCTGATTTTTGTTATTTTATTTTATTGTAGAGATGAGGTCTCACCAAGTTGCCCAGGTGGGTCTCGAACCCGCGGACTCAGGCAATCCACTCACCTCAGCCTCCCAAAGCACGGGATTACAGGCTGAGCCACCGAGCCTGGCTGCATTTTGTTATTTATTGTAGAGACAAGGTCTCACCAAGTTGCCCAGGCTGGTCTCAAACCCCTGGGCTCAGGCAATCCTCTCGCCTCTCAGCCTCTCAGCCTAAGTGCTGGGATTACAGGCTGAGTCACCGCGCCCGGCCAACATTCTGGTTTCAATGAATGCTGACAGAGAGCAGAAGTAAGAGGATTTTGTGTTCAGGTATGGGATTGTTCACTGCAGGACACTGCCAGACTTCTAATAAGCCAATGTTTATTATTGTAATGCTCTCACAGTAGAATATGGCAGACAACATGTCTCGAATGTGTTTGATGATCATCTCACAGAACCACTAGTGTCCCAGGTGACATTCTGGTACTTGTATATATCAGGAGCTGACTATTAATGGAAAGTGAGCTGAGATACCTATCAAAAATGTAAGGCCAATTCAAATCAACCTGCCACATGAACCATAATTCTGAGTAAATTCAAGATTCCATAATATGTTCTCTCATGTTACCACTAGATTACTTTATTCAATGTCTTTCTTCTTAGAACTTTAATGATATCAAGAATATTTTATAGATATAATTTTATTAAACAATGTTTATTTCATTAGTTTAAAAGTAATACATGACCAGAATAGAAAAAATTTGAAAACATCATTCAGTCTCTCCAAGCAAAGGTAACCATTTATAAATGGCACAGACTTGCTCCATCAATCTTTTATCTCAATCTAAAAATGTTTACTGCTGCTTTTTCTGATTATTCGCACTATAAAATAATCCAGAAATCAAGGGAAAAAAAATCTTGTCATGTAGTTAATTTTATCATTTATTATTGATTTTTCTCCAAATTTAACAAATTCAATACATGTTTATGGAATACCTATTATATACCAAGATATTGGTATATAATAGGTACTCCATAGGCACTGGGCTGCAACTCAGCTAAAACAGACATCATCTATGGTCTTTGCCTCTACAATCCAGAGTGGAAGACAGGCATTCAGCAAGTAACCACAAAAACAAATAAAAAATTCCAGTTGCTGTTTATGGCTATATAATATTCTTATGAACATTCTGTTATATCAGCATTATAAACATGATTTATCTTAATTTGTTGCATGATTGAAACTGTAAGATTACACCTCAATAACTGATTCATTTTCACAATCCTATCAGAGTTGATAAATATCTATTATGTAAATCTTTCACTGTACCTGTAAATACTTCCTTAGAATTGGTTTTCTGAAGTAAAACTTGGTCAAAGAGGCATATAAATTTTTAAAGCATTTGAAATGCATAGTGCAGTCGCTCCTGCCTGTAATCCCAACACTTTGGGAGGCCAAGGTAGGAGGACTGCTTGAAGTTAGGAGTTAGAAACCTGGGTAACAAAGTGAGACTCCATCTCTACAAAAAATTAAAATTTAGCCAGGCATGGTGGCACCCACCTGTAATCCCAGCACTTTAGGAAACTGAGAAGAGCAAATCACTTGAGGTCAGGAGTTTAAGACCAGCCTGGAACACATAGCAAGACCCTGTCTCTACCAAAAATTAGATGGGCAGTGGCAGTCCCAGCTACTTGGGAGGCTGAGGTGGGAGGATCACTTGTGCCCAGCAGTTGGAAGCTGCAGTGAGCTACGATTAAACCATTATTATCCATAAAATAATTAAAATATAATTTATATAATTTAGCATTTAATAAAATAATTATTTTTCTTTTTTCCATTTCTTTTGAGTTGGAATCTCACTCTGTTGCCCAGGCTGGAGTGCAGTGGCACACTCACGGCCACCCCAGCGTCAACCCACTGGGCTCTGGCAATCCTTCCACCTCAGCCTTCCAAGAAGCTGGAACTACAGGTGCATGCTACCACGCCTGGCTAATTTTTTATTTTATTGTAGAGACAAGGTCTCGCCAAGTTGCCCAGGCTGGTCTTGAACTCGCGGGCTCAGGCAATCCACTCACCTCGGCCTCCCAAAGAGCTGGGATGACAAGTTGAACCACTGAGCCCAGTAAAATAATGATTTTTCTAGCAGCTAATCTTTATTACATAGTTCCCTGCTATATAACAATCACCATTCTAAGAGTTTTACATTTATTAACTCTTTTAATCATCACAGTTATCATTGTAAGGTAGTTTCTATTATTATCCCCATTTTTTAGATGAGAAAACTGAGATGAATTTCACAACTTGCCCAGTATTATGCAGTTAGAAACGGGAAAGTCTGGCTCTAGAATCCTACCCTTAACATTAATGCCATGAAGCTTCTCAGATATAAAGTTCCTTAGATCCCAACCAAGTTACTGGCACCACTTGGTTGCCCGAGTGATAACAGTAAGTTGCTAACTAACTGGCTTTCAGATATCTAACTCTTGGCTGTTCAAGAACAGCAAAACACAAGCAAGTGAAAAGCAGCCCTTTGGTTCTTTATAGAGCCCTTACACTCTATAGTAATCATTCAACTTTGATTTCTTTTTTTCTGATAGTAAACATACCATGCTCACTGGAGAAATTTTGAAAAATAAGAAAGTATTAAAATAAGTCAAATCACACAATTTTGTTATCTAGTGATAACCACTGTCAATATTCTGGCATTTCTTTATATCATTTCTTTCTATGCTTCTATAAATACATGAAAAGAAAAATACAATTTGATAATGTTCCGTTTTCTTTCTGTACACAAAACAGGGTCTTACCTGCCCAGGATGGTCTCTTAACTCCTTTGAAGTGATTCTCCCAAAGGGCTGGGATTATAGGTGTGACCACCCCACTGGGCCTCTCCTACGTCTTTTTAAAGACTTATTCGAGCAGTGTCATATTTGACTGTGTGGATGTCCCATGACTTTTTTTTTTTTTTTTTTTGAGTCGGAGTCTCACTTTGTCGCCCAGACTGAAGTGCACGGGCCGCTCCCGGGCCACCGCAGCCTCGACCTGCTGGGCTCCGGCGATCCTTCCG